CTCGTGACATTCAGGCTTTGTGTTACGCCTAAAATCACTGAATCGGAAACCAATGTGGCTTAGAACGAAAATGAATTTTCGAAATCATGCATGCAATATTGTTAGTCAATTTTGCCATAGTTATGTACTGAAGGAGAAAACTTTAAAACAACGAAATTGCTGAAACTCTGTTCTTGAATTTTACTCAGAATAATTATTCTTAGTCTTTATAAATACAAAGTGGGTCTGTGGAGAGCCACAGTAAATAAGAGTCATTAAATGGATGATTCCTCAATTTATCCAGGTTTCTGATATGCTGCAGAAATCTACTGAGGCTCATGCTTCTGTTTCATATCTATCTCTGTAAAAGGATTCAGTAGACATTCCTACATTCTTCGATCTTCAGTCAAATATTCCGTCACTCCTAACAATTTCTTATCACCTTTCACGACATCACTCCATCTTTTCTTCAGGCTTCACAGTTTCCTCCATCCTGGAAGTGTCAGTGCTTAAACTACATTTTTCACACACTCATGAGATGTTTTTTTCAAGTGTCTGACCTTGCTTTCGATAAGCTGTCTTCCTCATATGCCAAAAGAGCCCGCTAGGAAAGTTTTCTGGTTGTAGTCCTTCTTGCTGACCCTACTCATCTATCTGAACGTTCACACTTTTACAGAGTCAAGCTGTTGCTCTGTCTCTTCAAAGTGGTCAAGGGTACCTCACCCTACGTCTTAACAACTAACTGCATATCCCTCCCTTTAGGAATTTCCTCATCGCATAAAATGCCACCCATTCTTTTCTGTTCGAATACGTTCCTCTGCCAATTTCTTAATTCGTTCTCTGGTATGACTGAACTAAGGTACCTGAATTGTAGGGTTTCAGGGACTCGTCTCATTCAAAGATTCGCTGGTTTTGCTCCTACTCCCTGCTGAGGCGAGTGCCACGTATTCGGACATATTTTCATTGAAATGAAGCAATAAAAAGCCTCAAGAACTGCTCTCATGCTTCAACGCTCAGCAGTAAATCATTTGCATAGAGCATGCAATGGGAAGCTGCTTCCTGCAGACCTTAAGTTATCGCGTCAATCGCCAACGAGAACAGAAATTGGCCAAGGGCTCATTTTTCATTGACCCCCACCTGACAGTGAATTCCTCTACTTCTTCGCATATATTTCTAATTATCATTGCTGTGCTATGGTAAAGGTCTTGTCTCAGGTGTTCTTGGTCGCTCTCTTAAGCAGATTTGCTATGAGGTCACCGTAATCATTTTCCAATTACAGCTGGTTCAGTAGTTTCGCCCTTTATAACGTTTCTTTGCGATTACCACAGCGGTTACAGAAAGCTCATTTCACACATCTTGGCATTCTTGCCTTTTACTAGTCTATTATTTGGTCTCAACAATATAGACATAGAATCAAATTTATGGAAATTAGAAATGTGGCTAACTGATGAATATTATGAATTGAATTTTGATTTGGCAATTAAACGATGGAATTAAAAACGTAATTATACAGTAAAAGTTCATATTTTTAGAAGATTGAAGAAATAGATACGTTACAAAATGTGACGTTCCGTTTTTCCTAGTTTGAAAATAGTGTACAAGGCGTTTCATGTACAAAATGCTGTTATATCAAGTGAAATATTGTTGTTATGACAAATGTGTCAAACATTGTACACCTAAAGGTAAAATTTGCATTGAATCAGTTGATAGAGAATGTGACTGCGTTGATTGGTTGATATTGGCATCAGTTGTTGAAGCTACTTAAATCTGATACGATGTTGTTGCTATCATTTGACAATAAACGTAGTCCAGCTGCTTTCTATGAAAATGATTCATTGGAATGTTCGTAGTTTGAACTTTGCTGTAAGGTTACGAACAATTTCGGAGCATGTTTGAGGGGGGTTAACAAAAAATTATAGTTAACGTATATTCTGTAGTAAATAACTGATGATTAGAAGCAAATGACTCGTTTGAAAGCAGTTTTCGTATCTTTTGGCACTCGTGAATGAAGTGGAGGCAGATTAGCTCATAGAAGGCGCAACTTTCATTCTTCTATATGAACATCCTGCTTTTTCACTTTTTATGACTTAAGGACCTCTTGTTGTAAGCCTTCTGTGATGTTCCGTTGTGGTAATACTGCCAATACTTCACTCACGGCATACGTCGCATATATCACATAGGGATGACTCTTCATTTAACGAGGATGAATTAAGTATCAACGATACATCGTTCCCCCCTGATCGCTCGCACCGGAGGGTCATTCAGCTTTCAAATTGATGGCCATTTCTTTCTGGTCGTACTGTTATTTTTGTACAAACGCTCTGCAATGTGGCTATGACAAAACCCTCAAATTATTGCGACACAAGCAGACGAAGTACAGTGAATCTGTTACGAGTTAGATGCAATTTCGCATTCACTTGTTTGCTGTTTCGACCCTACGTTTAAAACCCATCCTTCACGCTGACGTTTTGATGTCGACCTCGTAAACTTGGAGTCAGGGAACTCATTTACCTATTACCCCAAAATATATTTATTTACGCAACGCTACTCCCATAATTTGAAACGGAGAAAACCATAGATTATTTAAATTCAAAAGGTTTATTGAATCCATTTATACGGGGAATGTATTTGTAATCATAAAAAGTAGTCTTCAAGAAGAGCATCAGGAGATGGACACGAATCACTCCAAACACGGTGACGAAAAAAGAGATCTACTTCATCTCATTGGATAACCACAGCATTGTCGGAGAGATGGCAATAATGCCATGATTTAGAGCCGGAAGTGACCAGAAACCCTGGCGAAGAGCCATCTAAACCGAAACTGTGAAAAAATCGAATAAGTTATTACTTTGGCCAGCTGATCAACATGTGGCATGATCAGGCTGCAGTCATTCAGCAAAGAATTAGCTTTGGTGCGCGTTCCATTCCATCAAAGACATCCTCCTTAATGATATCTGCAAAAAAGCCCTCGACAGCCTCCTCGATTTTACCGTCCTGTCGGCAATATTGCATAGATGTGGGACTTGGTGATTTACTGAAGCAAAAGACCTGTTGCCATTACAAACGCTTGAATTTTCACGTCATGACCACGTCCTCAACATGGTGATCATGAAGCGGAAATGGTGTGAGGGACGCCCTCGTCGAAACCTTGAGGAAGAACCTACAGTGGGCCTGGAATGTAGCTCGGCTCACCGACAGAATATGGTCATCAACTGGTATCCTTGTTGGCAAACTAATCTACTTGATCGCCCACCATGAAGGTGGGACGATTATATCAGCAGTGGGAAAAAGTTCAAAACGTGAGGAATGGTGGACATGTTTTCGTCCGCGCAATTCATCGCCGTTTACTGGCAGATTTATGTGATTGAGGAGCAGCCTTCTAGACCCTGTGTGCTTTGGCCACAGCAGTGTTTAGTTCTGTTGTATGGCGAGAATTCAATGGCAAGATCGAGTACATTTCATTAGTAGCTCCATATTTGTACTCAGACATGTGTCAAAAGTTTTGCCATGCATATGACATGTACCGTGTGATGGACGTATGCTGCTAATGGATAACAGCTTATCCAAGCAGCTCGAAGTGAGGAATCAAAGACTGCAGTCATGGATTCAAAGTTCACTGGTAAACTCGGAAAGTGTTCCCTAACCTTCACCATGTGTCGTCGATGGA